CCATAAAGGGCTGCTTAGCAGGAGCACAAACAGCCTTTCAGCCCACCTGTCCTCTTCAACAAAAATTGGTATTCTTCTAATGCCTCCAATTCAGCTTGTACAGAAACAAAGAAAACACAAAGCCTAACATGGTAGGAAAGCCATCCAAAATCGCCGTACAGTTTGTTTTCCAGTTTTGTCATTCCACAACTTGTCCAAAAAACAGTTTTCCATCTAGTGCCTAAGTTAAAGTAGAGGTTTTGTTCTCTGGACTCAGGTTTTGTAAATGACCCATTTGTACCACAGGAAAAAAAAAAAATCCATATAAATTTCTGAGACTTTTTTTTACTTTGGTACTCCTCATAGCTCTGTGGTATGCTTTTTGCTTTGCACTTCCTTCTCTGCATGTACATTTGACGTTCTGTATTGCTGAGAGACTGCTGTGGAAAGCATGCAGATTTTGGCCAAACTCAATGCAGTGCCCTAGCAGTGTCAGTGCAGAGGCTGTTACAGCTCTTGCTGTGTTTCAACTTCGGTGCCGCTCTGCCAGTCTTCCGCAAATGCCTTGGGTAGGCACAGGACCGTGTGATGGACACAGGGGAAGATGTTGGCCCCAACATCTGTGAGCATCAAAGCTTACTGGAGTTAGCAGCACCAGAGGAGGAAGAAAGGAGCATGCGACCTGTCAGCTCTCGCTCCAGAAAGCAATGCTGTTAGCAATTCTTGGACGGAAAATAGTTGTTATAAAATAGTGGTATTTGAAAGTGTATCTAGGAAATGTTGCCAGCCAGCTCTTTAGTGTTTGGGGCTGAGTGAAAGACATAGATAGTTCCAGAAAAAAAACATTTTACTCCCAGGAGTGTTTGAAGAGAAATGTAATGAAGCCAATACCAGAATAATAGATCAGTTAGCAAGGGCAGTGAGGCTGGTTAGACGATTTGTGCTTAAAAGTAACTTCTTAAAAACAATTGTTTATGACTGGTGTTTCACTGTTGCTTGGTGTGGCTTTGGTCAGTCCTGTCAGATTTGTATCTTTTTGTATACTTTTTTGTTGGTTGAAATAAAAACCTACATGCCATTTGCTAACTTGAATCCAAGACAAAATTTGATCTAATCAAACTTGGCATTATCACAGATGGATCATACCACAAGTCTTCCTATGCCATGGAATAAGGAGAAGGGTAATTTTGTAGAGAGGAACACATACTTGTTAAGAGCTTGTTAGTAAGGAGTAACTTGAGAGGGGAATTACAGGATTGAAGTAGACAGTGTTGGCATAGAGATTGCAATTCATCTATGAGAGGAGTTATGAGTCCCTTAGCTTGCTGTAATGCATATGTTTTGCTTGGTATCTCAGTCCCATTGTTGACATCCTCTACAGCTGGTTTTGGATTTGCATTAGTGCTTCTGGGTGCATGCTGCTGCTTTTATTTCATTACTTTTATTTCCTTTTCCTTCTTTGCATGCAATTCCTACTTGCTTTTGAGCTTCAAATGAGTGGATTAAGATTAAATTATAAACTTCCTGAATTTTAGAAACCTTCCCCTTGTGCTGAGCTCCAAACTAACCTGCTAGCTCTATGGTGCTCTGCCATTGTGTAACCAAAGGCTATAGTTTCAGTTTTTAAAGACTGTGTATTTACACTGGTCTGGAAAAAGCCTCTGGCTGCTTGCTCCAGTAGGTCCGCACGACTGCGAGCAAAAAATGTACTTTGAGCCTTAATTTAATTAGGGCTCCTTCTGTATTCAGTGTTTTCTCCTGACATTTTAGCTCTTCTGACCCACTCATTATGAGGACTCTTGCTTTTATTAAAATGAAAAGGCATTTGTGGTTTCAAAGAAAAGTTAAGAGTAGACTGTGTCACAATTTAAATGATCAGCAACTTGCCAGTGAAGAGTGATTCAAGAATTCCCCTTTTGTTGGTCTAATGGTAAGCATAAACAAAGCTATAAACACAAACAGAAGACCAGGTTATCTGGGGGAATGCAGAAAAATCAGCAACTGTCTGCTTAGCTGAACCTTTATGAGCTCAGGTTCATTCCATGGAGATGAGGATGGAGAGCAGTTTTCAGCGTGACCAACCAAGGTGTCCTGGGGGTATGAGCTTCTGTGGAGGTGAGGGAAAAGCTGACTCAACACCTTGGCTTTCGAACTGTACACAAAATAGCTGCATCTGATTCATCTTCCTTGCTCGAGGGGGATCTAGATGACTGCCGTGCTCTTGTTCTGTTTGTGTTACAGTATTTACATGTCTGTCTTGTAAAGACATGCTTCTATCTGGAGGGCTGGGCCACAACTGTCCTTCCAAGCAGTGCATTAAAGTGGAGATGTGCATCTTGGAAGTAGCAGTGCAGTAATGCTACTAATCAAATGTGGTGTCAGATAAATCCTTCTGGGGGAGCTTAGTTATGAGGCATAAAACTTGGGCAGTGCTGTTCATGGCAGGTACATGCTGTAAGATGTGACCCTCTTTCCAAACTTCCTGGCTTTTTAAGGTTTATGACAGCCAAGCAGTTGATTTGCAGTTGTTTTGATACTTCTCCGTGTAGCACTGGGTGATTTTTGCAGTTTCAAAGCTAGGAAGAGGCATCCAAGACCATTGTTGCTGACTTGAAAAACAGTAATGCTTCCGTGTTTTCCCGGGAGATGGGTGATATCTGTAACTTTTGAATGCATATAGAGGATTTTTTAAATTATTATTATTTTACTAACTATTTTCTGTAAATGTGTGTGTGTGACGGTTTTAATTCAAATTTAACTTAGGAATAAAGAACCCTTCTCCTCCACCCCCTCATTAGAGAGATTCATCTGCACAGTGTGCTGACCTATTTTCATTTACTCAGGAACTGGTGACAAACCGTGCCTTGCCTGAGTACTCAGAAAAGCTCTGAAAAAAGTCCTTTTTTTTTTTTTTTTCAGATCATAGCTTTCTTTGTGTAAAATCCTACTTAGCTTGTGGATTAGTCACCCAAGTAACCTAATCCACATGGTGAAGTTCTCATACAGTTGAGAAACACTAAGTAAAAGAGCTGATTTTTTTTCTTTTAACTGTCCTTAATTACTCACCTTGCTTTTTTATTAAATGTAATACCAAAAGCAGTGAATTAGCACTTTCATGTACGTAAGCTTTTACAATTTATATACTTTCAAACCTGGTGGTGCCAGCCACTATTCCTTTGCCTTGCGTGCACTTATTTTTGAATGATGGTAGTGGGAGTTTCTGTGGGTAGGGAACAGGTTGAGAACTTGGTCAGCAACAATTTCCTTGTTCTGAGCTTCTATAGGAGATACTGTACAATGAGTCTGGGAAAATTTGCAACATGTGCAATGATGACCATCCTAGGTATTTCTAGGAATAGAGTAGTAGTATTAAAAGCCAATCTATTCTTAACATGGAAATATTTAAGAACATGATTGGAAATCCTCTGTAGTTTCTAAAGTGTAGGGAAGTTCAGGATTTCTCACACAGTAGTTTTAATCCTTTTTTTTTTTTAAGGACTAGAAGTGAGTGCTGTGATGTACTGTCAGATGTGAATTTTAAATGTTTGGCTTTTCTTAACCTAGAATAACAGAATTGATTGGATACCACCCAGAGGAGTTGCTGGGCCGTTCAGCATATGAGTTCTACCATGCCTTGGACTCAGAGAACATGACCAAAAGTCATCAGAACTGTAAGTCACTCTCTTAGTTTTCTTCAGTTTGCAAATAATAAGCCACAACTAGCAGATACCTCAGTAAGTAGTTGAAAATATAAGTGCACCCTGTGTGTGAGGATGGGAATTTATGCGCATGTATTCTTAGAAAAAAGAATAGATTCTTTCTTTGTAAGAAAGTTTGTGTTACCATGTTTGTCTTGCTGAAAACTGCTGCTGCTCTTTCTACATGGTTTGATTTTTGCCATACTCAAAACTAAATTTGGATCATAGCTAAAAGAGGATCTTTCTTTCAAGAGTAATACAAAGATCAGTTGAAAAATTGAAAAGCTGAGTTAGACAGTATTAGCTTGGTGAGAAGTGCATTTACTGGTTTATCATTCTGGTGTACTGTTGGTCTACTGTCTGGCTCAGCAACAAGGGCGGCTGTAAAGGGTAGAAGGAAGAGCTTAGTACAGCATATTTCTAAATGTTCTTCTACAAAAAAACTCTCTCGTCACTCAAAGATTTGCAAAGAGACTTTCTAAATGGAGTATTCATTATACAGACTATATATACTGCCAGAAACACATTCTTCTTGTTACTCTTATGGCTAAACTGCCAGCCTTAGCTGTTTTTGACGTGAAATACCTGAGTCGTTTTGGTAACGGAGATCAGAGCCAAGATCTGTTCCTTCTATTTGGCAGATATCTTATGATATCTTAAAATTGCTTGACTCAAACCTGCAGTCTCTGTCCTTAAAGGTGGCACAGTGGCTAGAGACAGCATAGTGCCCTAACATGCAAATTATGCTTCCTATGTCTGGCTTTACAACCAGTGAACTAATGGTGCATGGGAGAGTACTCAGCAAACAACCACTAAAATTTCTGTTGCTGCTGTTTTAATAAAAACAAGGCAGAGCTGCTAGGCTGGAGAACACAAGTTATAAACAAAAACATAAACCGCCTTGTAGTTATTATGATCAATCTCTCTGTGGCTCAGGAAGGACTATGATTTACATCATGTCTGTAGGGAATTACCCAGCAAATGCACTTAGAAGAAAGTATTCTGTACATCTTGGAGAAAAGTGTCAGTGAAGTGTAGCTGTCTGACTTTAAGGAGAAAAAGGGAATACAGTGTATTGTTAGCTGCAATGGCAAGGATTCAGGACAGCTCTGAGTTGAACGTTATTTGAAAGAATGTTTGGCAGTGATTAAAATTGGGTGCTGCATAACAGTGTTAGTGTGAATCATCGGGTTTCCAGAGCTGCTGAAGAAAAAAATAATAATAATCACACCATACTTACAGATTCTCTGGGAACATATTTGTTAAAATTGTTTCTTTGAAAATGTGTTCATGCTTTTAACAGTGAGAAAGAGTGATACTTACAGATAGGATGTGGGTAGCCCATGATGGGCTAGAAGTAATCCTGTGAGGAAATAGGTGACTATGCTTTACGGTTGGTTTTGAGTTGTTGAGTTACATCTGTTGAGTTGTTGAGTTCTCATCTAAGAATGAGAATACTAGAGGGAATAAAATGAGAGTTGGCAAATTTTTTGGTGGCTGAAAAGAGCCCATGTTGTTTATCCCTGTCTAATTAATTAGATAGGACCATTGAATCAAGACCTGTTTGTGTAAGGATTTCTGGATTGCTTTTACTAGTACTCTTGGCCAAGTATTGATGGTGGCTTCTCCTTGATGTAGCAATTGGAATCATCTCACAAAGGGCTCAAGTTGATGCTTGACAGCCCTTTGTGTCTACTGAAAGTATGATGTTCTACAGACTTGTGCTGTTGGACATGAGGGTTGGTCAAGATGCTGAATGAAGTCAAAAGTGAGAGAGGGGGTGAGGTATACTAGCAAAAGTGCTGAAAATACAGTGCATTACACAGATAGAAAATATTCAGAATCAGACTCATCCTAGTGCATATGGTGCTATACAAGGTCAGCATGGATCATCTCTACTGGTCAACACTCCATGCTATGATTAACACCATATATACTGTTACCCTCAACAGAATTGTCAGTCAGACGTTTTAGCAATTCAGAGGATGACCACAAAGACAAATTAGAAAATCCCTAGGTTTAGGAAAATCCCATTATTACTGAGATGTTGTCTAATGCAAAAGATTACCAAGCAAGCATGTAGCTTGTACAGGACTTAACTGCTTCTTCCTGGCCATATTCATTCATGCATGAAAATATCCACTTCTTAGCTTGTATAAAGAGATGTAAATCAGAATACAGAACTAAACACAGCATTCATGATCAGCACCCTTGTATGTAACAAACAATATTTTTTAAATGAGAAATATGCAACAGTATAGTGATCAATTCTGTCACTTAGTATTGTAGAGATGTATAGAAAATAGAAGGAAAGTGAAGCTTAAGTCATAGAATGGCTTAGATTGGAGTGGACCTTAAAGATAATCTAGTTCTGATCCCTTGCTGTGGGCAGGGGCCTAGTTAAACCTCATTAAATCCTCATGTGCTCACTTTTTGAGCCTGTCCAGGTCCCTCTGGATGGCGTCCCTCCCTTTTGTTATGTAACCACAACTCCCCTTGGTGTCATCAGCAAACTTGCTGAGGGTGCACTCAATCCCACTGTCTGTCACTGATAAAGATGTTGAAAAGCACCAGTCCCAAGACAGACCCCTGGGGGGCACCACTAGTGACCAGCTTCCACCTGGAAATAGAGATAGGTGGAAATAGGAATAATAGGAAATTGACAGCAACTGTCTGGCTGTGACCATCCAACCAAGTCTTTATCCATCAAATAGTCCTGCCTTCAAATCCTTATCTCTCTGATTCTGAGGTAAGGATGTGATGCAGGACCATGTCAAAGGCCTTGCACAAGTCCATTAAAGAGGAAGAAAGAGAGAAACCTCAAATGGGTCTAATAAATAAAGCAGGACTCTTCCCTTTTCTTCCTTTAAATTTAGTCATAAATCATGCTCATTGCAGTTCTACTGTACTGCAGGTTTGTTTTTTTTCATTGCCAAAGTTCTTCATTAACAGCCTTGTGCTCAAGCAAGGCACAGTACTGCTTGTGTTCTTAAGAATAGTTGCATATACAATGTGAAAGTCTTAAGTCATCATCAGTAGATTAGAAAGTGGCAGTATTTAGCATACCTTGTTTTTCACACATTATGCAAACAAGATGTAAATCTGTTTTATTGCATACGCCTGTACAAATGATTGACTGTAGAGTTATATTTTCCAATTTAGTGATTAATAGTCTGTAATTACTTCCATTTAGGCTTTGGTCTTGTTGCCATTAAAACCAATGAGAATTTCACTGTTGACTTCAGTGGAAAACTGAATGTCACTGTCTGGGACATGTTTCTTGGTAATGCACCTAGGATACACCTAGAGTAGAATGCACCTTTCTATTCCCAACAGTAAGGTGTAGAATATGAATGTATTTCGTTGACATGTTACTGATTCTGTAAAAATCCAGGCATGCTTGTATATATCTATTTAAAAATGTGTATTTTGAAAGAAAAAAAAAAGACAGTTCACTCTGAATCCAGAATCTTGAATGCAGTGTTGATAACAAAGTCAGCAGTTACAAGTGTATTAGTAATTTATGACATTACCCCAAGGAGTGATTCTGCTGTACCTTATTATATCAGAACATGGCATGCTTTGAATAATAATAATAAAAAAGATTAAAGCAGTAAAAAGCTTCTTTGTAATGTAGCAGGCGCCTACGCCGTGACTCTTATTGATGAGTTGATGATTAGGAAGCTGTGTAATTGTGTTTCACAAGCAGAGCAGAACAGTTCAGTCACTAAAACACTTTGAAATGAAAGCCTTTTGATTTTGTTCTGCCAGAAGTATTTAATCAATAAAGGTAATGTTCTACTTTGTCTAAATAAATTAAATGAAGGATGATTAAATATTCCTAGGAAGAAAACAAACAAACAAACTTCAGAGATAGAAAGATAAACACAGTGACAATTATCTACAATGCAGTTGTGTTTCACAGGGTTGGATTGTGGGTTTGTATTGTGGCTATGTAGGAGAGAGCGACAATAAATAGTCACTGTTGAGTGGCCACATTCACAAGGAATTATTCTGTGCAAAGAATGCAGAAATAAGTTCCAGTCTTATTGAGTAAAATGCTTTATTTTTAGGGCATTACTTTGATGACATACTGTCTTCACACATAAAACTGTTTAAAAGGAAAAACTGCCAAAGTGTTGAGTTCGCCAGTTCCCACTTAGGTACTCAGTGTAATTATGTCTGCATACAAATAAATGCATTCTTGTTTGTACTGCTTGTGTACTCCAGCCCTAATTTTACTGCTATTGATCACTAAGAGTACCTATTTTTTTCAAATGAACAGTTGTAAATTGCATGACAATATGCCTTGCTTGTAAGAAAAGTGTATATGAGGCAGACATCATAAAACTACATTTTAGATGTCCGGAGCTCCACATTGAAATTCCATTCTTTTCTAATATTTCAAAACACCTTGGGAACCTTCACCTTTTGAACACCTACATAAAACTTTAAACCTGAATTGTGCTGTCGTCAGTATATTGCTTGAGAAACACAGGCCAGTTCAAATAAAACATTTGGAGTTAACATTATTTGATTTTTCACGTGAGTCTCAGTTCCTTCTCTTTTGTTAATTCCAAGCTATTACAGAGAACCAAAACTAGATAAATAAGATGTTTTTTCTTTCTCAATGTTGATACCTTTTTAAAAGTGATGTTACTTCTTCAACCATTTGAAACCAATATTGTGCTAAGGATACTTTCACTTCATTTGTGTTGTTGGTGCCTTCGGCTCCTGACTAGGCGTGAAAAAGAGATAGGTACGGAATTAAACCATGAGAATTACTTTATTGTGGGTATTGCTTTTAAATCGTCTGACCCTTGGTTTTGTCCACCACCTAAATTAGGGAGACTATTGAATAATTTCCTAAATCAATTTGGGAACCAAAATTGCGAGCAATTCTACTGGAACAGAAACTTTCAAGAAATATGCAGTCAGCAGACTTTACTTTTTAGGGCAATTAGAATCTTACATTAAATAAAAAAAAAAAAAAAAAAACCCAAAACAAAAAAACAACCATGCATTGATCTAAATACTCAGACAATCTAAAGGTCTCAAATGCCAAGTGTCTTGAGAGGAGAGCTCAGCTTAGCAGACTCATTTATATTGAAAATAGCTGATTTCTTCTAGAAGTTGAGCATCATTGGCCACCCTGCTGATGACAGGGGGGGACTGGTTCTAAATGATCTTTATGATCCCTTTCAACCTGGCCATTCTACGATCACTGTTTACAAATGTTTTAATGCAGTTCTGCATAATGAAAACTTGGGAGCAGTTGTATTTAAACAAGTGTTACATATTATGCACTCTTACTTGTGCTGCTACCTTATTTTTATCTCTCTGCTCCCATTTCTTAGTGTGTACAAAAGGTCAAGTGGTGACTGGCCAGTACCGTATGCTTGCCAAGCATGGTGGATACGTGTGGCTGGAAACTCAAGGGACCGTCATTTACAACACGCGCAACCTACAGCCTCAGTGTATCATCTGTGTCAACTATGTGCTGAGGTAAGTTGTGCTGAACAGAAAAAACATTTCTGAATCCTTGTGCTGGAAAAAATGAAGGATGAGAAATATTTTTGAAGGGTCTGTTTATCCAGTGCTGCTATGCTGAAATCAGTTTAGTCATGTTTGTTCAATCTTGTTTACTGATGTTAGACATTGATGAAGAATGTGGCATGCCTGTTCCCATACAAGCTGTTGAATTACACCACAGCCTTTTTCTTCTGCTTTGCTAGTGAAGCAGAACATAAGGCCTGCACTAAAGATTTTGTTGTGCAATGCAACTACTAAATGCATTTTATTTTTCTAGTACTGAGACAGAGAGAGAAAACTCAGTAGTAAGTGTATCTTGTGTTCCTAGGAAAAGCCATTTTCTTTTCAAAAAACAGAAGCACAGATTAATCTCTGTCTTGAAAAGCTCATGTATTTTTGGTCCTAGGCAGGGCCTAAATAAAGTACTGATTTGAGTGATAGTCTGGGTCATTGTAGCTCTGAGTACATCCCTTTAAAAACCAGAGCAACAAAGCCCTGAGTATTCTCACAGAAGTCCTGACCACATTCTCTGCGTCATCTGAGATTGTGGTGCTCAGCAACACTGGAACTGTGCCTTGTCTGTCAAGAGCCTGGCATTCAGCTGTGAGAAACCAAAAATACTCTTAGAGCAACCTTTAGAGAGTTATAATACCTGACTTTACCACATCTTTTTCCTTTAGGGTGCTAAGTACTTAAACTCTTTCTTCTTCTTTCTAGCGAAATTGAGAAGAATGATATTGTCTTCTCTATGGACCAAACGGAATCGCTCTTCAAGCCTCACCTGTTGACGATGAGCAGTGCCTTTGAGAACGGGATCTCAGGGAGGGACAAGAGTGATTTATTGTTTACTAAGCTAAAAGAAGAACCAGAGGAACTTGCACAGCTGGCTCCAACACCTGGAGATGCCATTATTTCCCTGGATTTTGGTTAGTATTTGTGTAAATATTTTCTGTACAACAAAGAGCCACATATGAGCCTATGTTTAGAAACTTAATAGACCAGGTCTGTCTGCTGTATGTATAAATCAAGAGTAACAGTGATAGAAGCTCATGTGCTCGCACTAGTGGAAAATTTCTGTGAAAGAGGGGAGAATCAGACTGAACAAGATAAAGTCTTTGTGAACTTACTTACTGTTATGGCAACTTGGATTAGTGTTTACTGTTAGTGAATAGCCGTAATTATATCATAACAGGCACAAGCTAAAAGCATCCATTAATGTTGTGCTATTAACACTGCTAGAACTCCATCCAGGGATACAGAAGTTTGAAGAAACCCCTGCCTATTCCAGTGCTGTTTTGACACCAAACAAACCGTGGCCAGTAGAAGTGAAAAGCCATGCTGCTCAAGGTGAAACGCTGACAATACCGTCCTTTACAATGCCTCAGATTGCACCTGGCAGCAGTACTCCAAGTGTAAGCAGCAACAGTAGCTGTTCCACGGTAAGAAAAGCTTTTAAAAAATGCAAAAGTGATGTTCTCTATGCAAGTCCCATCAGGAGATGATATTTTCATGTTAGCAGTCCTGTCTCAATGCTTGTAACAAGACCGGCATATCTATATCCCTACTGTACTGTGTATTTTTATCCTATGCTGTTTGTGTAGGAAAGCACTGATAGCAAAAATGTCAGATGGAAACTATATCTTGCCTTTATATTGCATTCTTTGTTTTCCTCTGTCTCACTAAGTAATTATGAAACAACTGGTCTA